TATAGGACGGCTTACAAAATACCTATTGGAATGTCTCCATGTCGATTGGTGTTCGGAAAAGTTTGTCATCTTCCGGTGGAACTTGAGCACAAAGCCATGTGGGATTTAAAGAAGTTGAATCTTGAGTGGGATATCGCCACCAACTTAAGGGTGGTACATTTGAATGAGTTGGATGAGTTCTAGTACCATGCATACACAAGTTCATCCTTATACAAAGAGAAGATGAAATATCTTCATGACAAGTACATTTAGAACAAAGAGTTTAAAGAGGGTGATCTTGTATTATTGTTCAATTCACAGTTACAGATGTTTCTCGGAAAGTTAAAGTCTAAATGGAGTGGCCCGTTTGAGGTTGTGGGTGTGACACCCTTTGGTACATTGGACTTGAAGAATAAAAATGATGAGGTATTTAGAGTCAATGGTCACCGGGTGAAGCATTATCTGGGAAAAGTTGGTGATGGCCATGTCGTGGTAGTAATTCATTTCAAGTGATGGTAATTTGCGTCGTATCACGACATTAAATCAAGCACTTCTTGGAAGGCAACCCATGTTTCTTTTTCTTTTTCTTTTCTTCTTCTTTAGATAGATCTTATTGTGTGCTAACTGGATTTGAAGTATGTTGTAAAAACGAGTGTGATTTACAGGAACTGTGCTCGAAAAAATTGGCTAAGTATGGGAAAAGTGTGGGCCGTACAATTTTGAATGCTACAGTAGAAGGTAAGTGCGGCCGCACAATTCTTGTGAGGACCGCACAAATTGAGATGGAAAAATGCAAACTCTCTGAAGTTTGTTTGTCAGAGAAACAGCCAAAGTGCGGCCGCACAATTCTTGTGAGGACCGCACAAATTGAGATGGAAAAATGCAAACTCTCTGAAGTTTGTTTGTCAGAGAAACAGCCAAAGTGCGGCCGCACAGCGAATTCTGTGGTCTGCACCAAAATTTGTGGCCGCACAGCTAAATCTGCAGACCACAGATCATCAAAGGAAATTGGACCTCCAGGTAACAGAGTGCGAACCGCAGAAGGAATTCTACGGCCGCACTTGCCTCGTTGTTCCTTAGCCAGATCTGTTGTGTATAAATAGTAATGCTAAGGCTACTGTACAAATTTTTCATTCTTTGAGCACTCAAAAAAAGGGGGACTAAAACTTTGCACATATCTGTTCAATCATCTACCACCTAGATACGCATATGTGATCATTCCTTAGCACTGGTTCATTACTGGTATGTTCAAATCACTTCTAGGATTCTTTAATATTCTTAGTTTAATTTACAATTTGTTAGTTATTTTAGACCATTTGTCATTAAAAGTCAATTATATATCCATGTGGGGTGTAAATTATATTAGGTCAACTCCTAATTGCTATTTGGGGAATGGGTATCTTGATTATCATGTTTAATTGCTATTACCATGTCCAATTTGTGCATAAATCGAAACCCTTAAGAAATTTGCCCGATCTGATTTTGAAATCTATGGCCGCACAAGAAATTGTGCGGTCCATAGAAGTGTTGACTAAGGCAGTTGGTGAGGCAAAAATTGTGCGGACCGCACTTAAAATTGTACGGACCATAGAAATCCCATCGCGGAAGTAGAAAAGTGTGTGCGGCCATAGATCAGGCCAATCTCTATCTTCAGAGAGTTGCTATTTTTAGGTACTCATAGTGCGGTCGCACTGACAATTATACGGACTGCACTTCAGATGTATGGTCACACTTAAAATTGTGTGGACCGCACTTCAGATGTGCGGTCGCACTTAAAATTGTTCGGACCGCATTTTCATTTCTGCGGCTGCAAGTTCAAATTGCGTGGTCCACACAACCCAGGCTGTGGCCGCACTTGCAATTATGCGGACCGCACTTTCCCACCCTGCAAACATGTTTTGTTCTGTGAATGTATGTTTATCTGCACTTGAACTAGAACTGACTCCTGTTGTTGTTTGTTATAGAAAATGGTTAGATCACGAGGTTGTGGTGATACATCAAAGGGGAGGGGTGAACCTTCCAGAGGCAGAGGCAAAAGTAATTTACCCCTCGCCCTTCAAAGGGTAATCAGTAAGAAAGCCACAGCCGGCCGAGGTAGAGCTGCAGGGCCCGCTGAATCAAGCTTTTATGCCCCATCTAGGGAAGCATTGGAGGGCGACTCAGTGCAAGTGCAGCCTGTTGTTCAATCACAGCCACAACAGCTTCAGGGAAGATATCAACTCCGAAACGAGCCTTCCTCCTCTGAGAGCACTTCTGAGGGTTCAGAAGGTGATAGTCAGGCTTTGGAGCCCTCATCCACACATGCCCCTGATGCACCTGCTAATACAGTGGATGATGATGATATTCCGGATAATGGTCGAGGGGGTGATACCAAAGTTACCGGCCTTGAGAGGTCGAAGAAGAAAGATATGTGGGAAGATAGGTTTGTTAGTCTGGCTCCTTACACAAGTTTTCTAGATTGGTGGCCAGTGAGATCGCTCACTCTTGAACCTCAATTCATGTTTAAAGACCTTGACAAATACAACCCGGCAGTGTTAAGATAGTTCTGGGAGCGGAAGGGGTGGATGTGGCACACCAAAAGTATGGTAGATGCTAAGGAATACCTGGTCCGGGAATTTTACGCCATTGTGGTGCATATAAAGAAAGGGACCAAGGTAGCAAAAGTGAGAAATTTAAAGGTGAGATTCGATCAGAACACCCTGAACATGTATTTAGGGTTTGAGGATGTGGAGCCAGTGCAATACCTGGAAAAGTTAGCACTGGGAGATGCAGTTCAACCATGGCTAGCTGAGATTATTGCAACTCCGGGGCCACGTCCAGCTTGGATCACAACAGGGGTTCCTATTCAGCGGTTCCCTAAATTTGAGGCAAAGGAATGTTAAACATTCGTGTGTAGCAGACTAGACCCGTGTCGAAATGAAACAAATCTTCCAACTATGTGGGCAGTGCTAGTCGCCTCTATCATGGTTGGGTACCCAATCAATGTGGGTGTCGTGATATCGGCCAACATGTCTGTGGTCGCAGGCAAGGTGACACCTCCTACCCATATCCCAACATTATCACTGAGTACCTTACGGATGCGGGGGTGGAGCCGAAGGATTTTGATACCAAGGTGCGGGCGAAGAAGCCCTTCTCATGGTATTCTTTGATGAGTGGTGGAAACCCAAAGAAAAAGGGTCAACCCTCTACTACTACAGGCCAGTCTGATGAGCCCGACGGGTAGTTGTTGAGACATTTGGCATGCCATCTACTTTAGCAGAGCCTTATGATAGTGCAGCAGTTATGTCTCCACCTCCTTCTTCAGGTCCTTCAGCATTAGTGCCTTCCACATCGGCTTTGAAGTCGGTGCTTATGCCTTCTGCTCCACTATCTACGCTGCGATTCTCCCAGACTTTGGCGAGCCTCAACAACTAGATACAGATAGCTACTGCAAAGCTGTCTGACTTATCCGGTCATGTTGCAGTGCAGTCATCTATGTCGGCACCCCAGATACCTCCGACAGTGGAAGAGACTTTGACGAATCTCCTGGAGAACCAGACCACTAGAATGAACACCTTGGTGCAGCATGGATTAGCGATTGAGGAGCTGGGAAAGCAAGTAAAGAAAATGAGGAAATCTCAGGCGTCCAAGAAATCAATTGAAAAACTGCAGAAAGAGGTGATCAAGATTGTTGCAGCTGGAGATCTTCCATTTGACATGCTGATAGATCCAGCACCGTCACCACCACCACCACCACCACTATCAGTTCCAGTAGCACCAGCTGGCTAGTCTGACGAGCCAGACCTGGCTGCCGACACTGCTGAGGCGGTACGCTAGATGTTCACCAACCCAGCTACTCCCACAGTCGAGGATGATAAGATCCAATTACAAGAGACTGAGGACGGTGACGCTGCTGTGGACACAGAGATACCCAAGGCGACATAGGAAGTCTTTTTTACTCTTACCCTTTCTTTTACTCTTATTTTGTTAAGCATTGGGGACAATGCTTACTTTTATTCGAGGGGGTGGAGTTATTTTATATTTGGATGGTTTTGATGATGTATTTTGATAACTATGAGACAAATTGGCCTATAATTAACTTAGTACAATTTTCTCCTTATTTCTCGTTATGTATATATTCTCTTTTATCCTTCACCATGTATATTCATTTAGTTTTCTATAGTTGGTGCTTATTAGCTTCTTTATCTCTATGTTTGTCTTATTTTTTACTTAGTAGCTTCTTTTTTCTTTAATTGCTTCTTTTTATGTTTTAGTGGACAATAAGCCTTTGGTTTTCTTAATGCCACGGTTCTTTCCAAAGGTGGTTTTTGTGTGAACCGGGTGACTCTTCCGAACGATGGATGGCGTGACAACCTTCTTAAGGGATTGAGTCCGTTTTTGGTAGTTAGGTAATAATAGTAGTAATAATGAATAAAAACACCTAATTAAGTCATGCTCGAAGAGTCAAACGTGCTTCACTTGGTACCAACACACTTAACTACGTGCTTATGGTTAAAAATAAGGTTTTTGGAAAGAAATAGCTCTAGTTAGTGACCTTTTGACTCTTGTGTTGACTCAGGCAATCGTCGAATGGTTTAGTCGAACCATAGTGATCTTCAACCTTGAATATGGTCGTTGTAAAAGAAAGAAGTAGAAAGGCTAGATCCTAACTCCAAGGCATTATCAGATCTCACAGTCAACATCTTAGAATTAAACTGTGTGTGGACCATGGCAATGAAGGCTTTAAGAATAGGAAAAGCATTTGATTTTGCTTTCAGTAAATGGGTCCAAGTAGTTCTTGTAAAATTATCAACAATTGTTAGAAAATATTTGCAGCCATCATGTGTAGGAACATTATAGGGGCCCCAAATGTCAACATCAATTAATTGAACATGTGAATTGGTATGAATTGTGCTATCGGAGAAGGATAGTCTAGTTTGCCTTACCATTGGACAAATATTATAAATAAAATCTTGTTTGCTAGAAAGTAAAGGAGAAATATATGGAATAGATTTCAAATTAATAAATGGAATGTGCCCCAATCTACTATGCCAAAGAGTGTTCATTTTATTCAAATATGGAGTATTTACAAATGGAGTAGAAGAAACAGAACACTTAACATCATTCTTATCACAAGCAGGGAAAATAGAGATATTAGAACAAGTAAAAAAGAGGGTTGGATGGTAGTAGGAGTTGTCGAGGGAGGCAGGTGCAAGGTGTAAAGACCATGTTGTGTTTTACCAAATACCGGAGGCCTCCTCATGGAAAAGTCTTGTATAAAACAGGCAAAGGAACTGAAGATAAGCAAACACTTCAATTGGGAGACCATCTTGTGTAAAGATATCAAGTTGTACTGACAACTAGGAACCAAGAGCACATGTGACAGAATAGTACCATTGGTTAAAGGTAAATCTCCAACACATGTTACTTTGACTTTATAACCATTAGGTAGGATGACCAAGTAAGGAATGGGTAATGGTTTAATATTTTAAAGAAGATTACTATGTGAGGTCATGTGATCAGTGGCCCCAGAGTCTAAAATCCAAGAGTGTTTATCAACTTTACAAAGCAAGAAAGTACTAAATGAACACTCAGGCTTATTGCTAGAAAAGAAACTAAGGATACCTACAAAGTTCACAGAATCAGCAGGATTAGAGACTGAGGTAGAAGACTGATCAGACACATAATATTGTTGTAACAAAGAAAGCAGTTGGCTGCATTGCTCAAGTGTCAACCCCGGAATAGCTAGAACGTGGAAATTGGTGTCTTAGTGAAAGGCCTAGTCCCAAGCTGAGCAAATTGCTTAGAAACATCTAGCTCAGTATGGACAATGGCAGCAACCCTTTTATTACTGTTGGTGAACTTGAAGTTTGGGGGAAATCCATGTTTCTTATTACATTTCTCCATTGTATGCCAGGTTTGTTGCAGTAGCTATATACCACATTAGGCCTCCTGGGATCAAAGGTGGTCTTAGGATGAAAAGTAGATCTTGAGACCCCCACCGAGAATGAAGCAAATTCTAAGCTGAAGTAGGAAAGAGGATGTTGAATTTCTCGTTGTCGCTCATTATTCACCAGAAGAGAGTAGGCCTTGTTAATAGTAGAGAAGGGACCCGTCGTAAGCAGATTAGTCCTAGCATTGGAATAACTATTATTCAAACCCATCAGAAATTGGTAGAACCTTTGATTCTCCTCACGTTTTTGAATATCCAGTCTACTACCCCCACAAGTCCAGTGAGAATCCGTATGAACAGTCAATGTGCTGAGTTCGTCCCAAACACTTTTCATCCTTACATAATACTCAGGAAACCTCATTGAGCCCTGAGAGATTGAGGCACGTTCCTTTTTTACCCGATAAACCCTAATTCCACTTAGCTGACCATACCTCTCTTCCAATTCCATCTAGACATCTTTGGCAAGTTGACAATAGAGGACACTCTTACGAATTACCGGAGAAAGAAGGTTGTGGATCCACGAGATCACTATGTTATTACACATATCCCACTGACGAGAGAAAGGTGAATTTGGAGGTGGCCTCTCACAGTCACATTGAATGAAATATAACTTATTCTTAACCGAGAGAGCAATAAGCATATTCCTACACCAATCGCGATACTTATTCCCATCGAATATGACGCCCACTAGTGAAAGCCCCAAATTCTTTGATGGATTAATGTAAAGGGGATAGTTATGATCAATTGTGTCATCGAGTGAATTATCACAACCAGAGTGCTCAGACGAAGTACAAAGAGACTTATCAGAAACTAGAAAGCCATAACGGAAGAGGTGAATCCAGTATTGTTGCAAATTAAGGGTTTCGTTACTGTATAATTCTCTGATCATAAACAAACAAATTTATGGGAAATGAATGCAAGAAAGCAGAATTCAATGCAAATCGAAAGGAAAATGAGAGAAATCACTGGCGAGAAACCGAAGTCCGACGAAACGGCGAACAGAAAAATGTGATTCATTCGCCAACAACAAAGAACAACGAGATGCCCATGAAATTGAAGAACACTGCTCAAATCACCCGGATACACCGATGTGATACCATGTTAAACTCATCGTAATCCCAATATTCTGAAGAGAGAAATCGAAATCTCAAGGAGGAAGGAAGAACAAAGGTGAAATATTTTCGTGTAAAATATGAAAACTGAGCATCCGAACCTTCCAGAGTCGGATCTCCTCTATTATATACAAAGTCAGTTTTGGATCGGGTATTTACTACTCAAACCCGTACAAAAGAAAATGACTACACTACTCTGTTACAACTTTGGGATAAGTTGTACAACTGAGTAATAAATACAATTGGGCCCTAACTAGATATCTGCTAACATAACAAATGGGCCTTTATCAGCCAACATTCCACCCACTGCCATAATAAATTACTATAAGTATTCAAAAATCAACTTCTTTTTCACTTGTTCAACACCATTAAAATAATCTTCCTGTTAACCGACACCATCACTTGTTCAACACCATTAAAATAATTTTCCTGTTAACCGACACCATTCCTCAGCTTCCACAGGGTGCTAACACTAGCGATCATGGGCATAATAGGAGATATTGTGAGGCATCCAAATGAGATATGCCCATTGATGAAGCTGTTGCTAATAGCAAAATTAGCAGAGAAACAAATTCTTTCAAAGCCACACTGGAGCTTTTGCTATCTCATGCTCCGCAACATCTCTCGCAGCTTCTCTCTTGTCATTCAACAGCTTCCCCTTGAGCTTCGAGACGCTGTAAGTTTACTTACTTTCTCTCTTTTTTCTTTCTTTTTTGTTGACTTTAAATTTTTAGTGTAATATACGCTACCATCTCGAGAGACTTTAGCCACGTCTTAACCATGGCTGTAGAATGAAGCTTTGTTCCAACAAAAATAAAATATTTATATTTTTAAAAATAATTTAATTTTAAAAAATTTGTTATGTCCTTAATAATATAGGAGTACTTTTATAGACAAAAAACTCTTATGATATGTTTAAAACAACTAATCCTAAAAGTTTTTCTTTGTCTCTTAAATTCAGTATGTTGCGTGTAAATCAACTTTGTTCTTTTTTTATATAATTGCGTATTTCCAGGGAATTGAACGTGTATCAATGGTGTCTGGTGACTTAACTCCTTTCTCTGCCATGTATAATGCAAGTGGCCTACATGTTCTCCTCATGTCTAATACGTAACTGTATGTCCTTTGTCTAAAGTGATGGGCTGCTAGCTTATACCTAAACTATAGTATTTTATTTTTATATACTTAATGGGCGTTTGGACATAAGAATTGTAAAATTTAAAAAAAAAGTGAAAAAAAAAATTCAAGTTAAAATGGTATACAATTGGGCCCTAACTAGATATCTGCCAACTGTGTGACTCTAAGAAAAGAAAAGAGAAAGGTAAAAAAAAAAATTAATAAAAAGGAAATAGTATTTGTAATACACTTTAATACAATTAACGAAAGATCTAATTAGTTTGGGTAGATTTCGTTTCGAAGATGACATATATATGCCAACTGTGTGACTCTAAGAGTATATATGGACTAACTATGTGACGCTAAAGACATTTTTGAGCTAAAGTATTAACGAAGAGCAAATGTGTTCGATTTAAGTATCTTATTATTTTACCTATAACTACATCACAAGACATACATATATAATAATTGATTTCTTTATCAGATATTCCCGAAGGAACACGTACATTTTTGTCATTGTCTTTTCATGGTATACAGCCTTTTGATTCAATATTCATTAATTACGATATTTTAAGCAAAAATTGAAGCGATTAGATTCATTCTTCAGGATGGAACATTTTTGTATTAGTCTTTCTGCCAGCTTTTCTAATCGTTCCACTATTACACGAACGCGTGGTTTTGACTCTTCAATCTCAACAAACGAGTGTGGTTTCCAACAAGGTCACCACAAACTGAGTATTAGGACTTTAACTCAATAAAGAGAATGAAAATGATTTTTTAACCCTTAGGACATCTCCAAACCTTGCACCATTTTTTCATACTAAAATAGTGCAAATTAACTCCAACCTATTACATTATTTTTTACACCAAAAAAATATCCTTTTTATATTCTTCTCTTTCTTCTAAATTATATTATTTTCTTTTATTTACATTTATTCTTTTATTTCATAAAACAATTTTTTTTTTTATTTACGAAGTGCAAAATAAGCATTTTTGTTCTTATTTTTTTTGTGTCGAGCTAAAAATTGTTCAACTCGGTAATTTTCATCTACTACTATTACTACTGTTGGAGTTGGACCTTCACAAGCATCTTGAATTGGTGCATTAAGACCACGCTCATCCTCGATTATCATGTTGTGCAGTATAATACATGTAGTTAATATATCATGTAGCACTTCTTTTCTCCAAAAACGTGACGGGCCTGCAATAATTGCAAAACTTCGGATGCACGTTCAACATCTTTTCGACATGATTCTTGTTTCATTGCGAAATAGTTCTTCTTTTTAGAATGTGGCTCACGAATAATTTACACAATAGTAGACCATTTTGATATATACTGTCAACTAAATAATAACCCACATCATATTCTTTTCCTTGAATAACATAATGGGCGGGAGGAGCAATATCTTTAGCAAGATTGAAAAATAAATGTGATGAGTCTAAAACATTAATGTCATTATTGGAGCCGGGCATACCAAAATATGCATGCCATATCCAAAGGTCATAATCAGCTACAACTTCAAGAATAATTGTTGGGGATCTACTACGACCTGCATATCGTTCAGCCCATGCTGTTGGACAATATTTTTCATCTCCAATGCATGCAATCTAGAGTACCTAGTATTCCTGGAAAACCACATTGCTCACCAATACGAAGAAGCCTTGCAACATCGTTAGTTGTTGGTGATCTCAAATATTGCTCGCCAAAACCTCTACTATAGCTCGACAAAATCTCTTCATGTTTTCAATTGCAATTGACTCTCTAATTTTTATATATTCTTCATTGGCATCCGCTGGCAAACCGTTTGCCAACATTCTAAAAATAAATATAATTTTTTGTAAAGTAGATAATCCCAATCTACCCAGCGCATCAGCGTGTTGTTCGAAGAACGCATCATGAGCTTTGATTGCATCAACAATTTCAACAGCCACAACCACAACTATCTTCCGGCACATACACTCATTATTTTAATTACATTGGTGGATCTGGAAGCGACCTACCAGAGTACTAAATTATTGTTGTAATTTTATCATCCTATTATATTATTTAATGTATTTTTAATATTAAATCTATGTCAGCCGCTATTGTATTAAATATTTATTTTTATATTATTTAATGAACATTCTGTTATTTATTAACAACGTTATATTTTATTTTTGTGATGGTTATATTTTTTTATACAATTATAACTTATAATAAAATTAACTTACAATTTTATATAGAAATAATATATACGAAAATTAATTTATAAAAATTATAGACCAAAAGTAAGATGTAAAATTAATATTATAAAGATATTACATAAAAAGTATAAGTAACTACTACAAAATTTATAATTTATTAAATTAAAGGATAATAATAAAATATTGATGAATAATAATGGTATTGATGAATAGTGTTACACCAAATTTGGTGTTGGGTTGGAGCACAAAAATACTAAATTTTGTTCAGGAATAATATTCACGATAAATAATAATGACACAAGAGAGTAACAATGACACCAAATTTTTTAACGGAGTAAAATACAATACCCGAGAGAAGAAATATAATACCACTATAATATTATAATTTTGTAGTGTCAAAAGACTACTACGACTCAAAAGAAATAACACTCTTTATTTTAAATATTTTACTACAATATTACTCCCACTTTATTTTCTCACAAACTATAAAATAATCGGTGGATTACTCTCACAGCTCTAATACTTCTCTCTTATTTTTGGTGTATTTGAAATGAGGAACGAGGGCCTCTATTTATAGCAGGAAGAGTTGATAATTTAACCAATCAAAATTGATTGGTAATCGAACAATTTCAACCAATTTGACAATTTGCATATCTTGCAAATTCTTCTACCGCTTAGCCGCAAATCCAACCAATCAACATTTTTTGCATATGCAATTTGCATATAATGTCAACAAAGTTAGTCACCTACCATCCCATTATTTCTTCTTTTCTTTTTGTTTTCTTCAATATGGGCCCCATAAATCTCTCCCTTAATTTTAATTTTTTTTTTCATTCCAAGACTTGATCTCAATCTTTAAAAATCCTCAAACTTAAGAGGCTTTATAAATATATCTACAGTCTGATCATGAGACCTCACATATTTGAGTTCGACTTCCTCCTTAGCAATGCATTCTCTGATGAAGTGATACCTTGTATCTATATGCTTGCTTCGATCATGATACATCGGATTCTTGGCAAGTGCCTGTGCGGATTTGTTGTCAATACAAATCTCTGTAGCTTCAATTTGTGGTAAGTTGAACTCTTTCAACAATCCTCTCAACCAAATAGTATGACATGTACAAGATGTTGTTGCTATATATTCAGTTTCACAAGTCGGGAGAATAACAATGGATTGTTTCTTTAAACTCCAAGAAATAACAAAATCACCCAAGAAAAATATAAAGCCAGCTGTGCTTTTTCGATCATCAATATCTCCCGCATAATCACTATCACAAAATTCCTTAAGGTTGAAATCACTAGAAGAAGAATAAAATAACCCAAAATCAGTCGTACCTTTTAGGTAACAAATAATTCTTTTAGTGACTTTCAAATGAGTGGAGGTAGGAGCTTCCATGAAGCGGCTTACTACTCCAACTGCAAAGAGTATATCTGGCCTGGTACTAGTCAAGTACCTCAAATTTTCCACAAGACTTGTGAAAAATTTGGGATCCGTTTTTTCTCCTTCATCAAACTTAACAAATCTTGTCCCACTTTCCATCGGTGTGTTCACGGGGTTGCAATCGAGCATGTTGAACTTCTTCAATATCTCTTTTGTATAGCTTTCTTTTCTTGAGAGATAAAAATTCCATCCTCGATCTGCTTCACTTCTAGGCCCAAGTAGTATGACATGAGCCATACGTCTGTCATATCGAACTCACGTGACATATATTTCTTAAAAGTTTCAAACAAACTTGGGTTATTACCCGTAAAAATAAGATCAACATAAAGACAAACAAGCAAGATATCTCCATTAATATTAATTTTAAGGTAAAGAGCATATTCATGGAGACAACGAGTAAACCTATTTTCTTGAAAATACTTATCGATACAACTATTCCATGCTTACGGGGCTTGTTTCAATCCATATAAGGCTTTGTTCAACTTCAACACTTTATCTTCATGATTTTTGACCACAAAACCCAATGGTTGTTTAATATAGACTTCTTCTTCAAGATAGATATCGGGTCCAAACACACTCACGCAAGTATACGTGGTCGTCAAGTAATAAAGTAGTGAATAAAGTATCGTTCCCACGAAGACTTATGATTAACTTTTGACTAATTTAAACTCGAATAGCTTATCGATTCAAAATATTTCTGACAAAATATATAATTTTCTAAATTACTATCTAAAGGCTATCAAGTAATGAATTGCTAAGAATCAAACACAACACTTAAATAGTTTTGAATAAAAATCTATAGGGTATAATATTCCAGGGTCACGGGTTATCTAACAATCATGTTGCATTCTTAAGTTAAAGTAACTAATTGATTTATCTGGATTGTTGACTCACAGGGTTGATATTGCTTGTAAGCATCTGTCGAGTCCTTACTCGCCTATTCAAGCTAACTTAATACCTATATGTCTATGGAATTAAGTGTAACAAGAACGCATTTACAATTCCTGAATTACAACCGAGTAAGGTAATTAGGTATATGTCTATCCTAATTGCGAATCCATTCCCCGATGCCCGGGTTTAAGAATTTACTCTATTTAATTCTATATGCAATCTATAATTCCCACTTTCGAGTTCAACTATAGATTCGTAGATAGTATTTCACTGTTAGCTACTCAGCAAA